TCGAAAAAAAGTGATAAAAATAAATTAAATCTAATGTGATTTGAAAAAAACCCAAAGAAAAGCAAGAAATCTCAAAATTTGAGATAATGAAAACTAACAGAAACATTTGTTGTTTTTGCATGAACAATTACTTAAGGACTTAATTTCTTGTTTAAAATGTGCAATTTAAAATGGTTGGTCATTTATTTTCTGTCAATCAACAACACATTAGTCAGTCAATCTTTGCAGCTATACATCCACCACTACACTGCCGAACCACAAGGCTTTACTGACCAATCCAAGCTGAGGTCTAAAATGTTTCAATGCTGTCAATAACTGCTCAATCAATGAATGTCAAAATGGATCAGATGCAACACATACATACATCATGGACCCATAGCCCAAAGCCCTTAAAAAATGCCTGAAAGAAATGTAAAGGCATCGCTTTGACTCATTGCTTTAACACCCTCTGCTGGAAGAAAACTGGCATAACCAAACACTTTATCATCACCAGTGTTTTCTCATCCTATTAATCCACACAATTCACGCTCACTTTGACTTGTATTTGTGTTGGCCTGTCTTACCTAACAGTCCTCAGTGAGTGCTGCACAGTAAACTCTGCGCCTCAACCTGCAACAATTTCATGCTCGTGTTGATGCTGTTTTACACTACATTCCTGAGGGCTCGGTATCATCGCAGATGAGCCATACGGGACAGGACAGACGTATTCCTCTTTAAACGTCCCTCCCTCCCTCCCTCCCTCCCTCTCTCTCTCCCTCTCTCCCTTCCTTCCTCCCTCTCTCCCATCACTACTCCTCCGACTTCTTCAATACTTTTTTTCCTTTGTGACCCTTAAACATGATGGACTAAGTGGTTTAGCTTATGTGGGAATATGGCTGCTTTCCAGGCACCCTGTGTGTGTGTGTGTGTGTGTGTGTGTGTGTGTGTGTGTGTGTGTGTGTGTGTGTGTGTGTGTGTGTGTGTGTGTGTGTGTGTGTGTGTGTGTGTGTGTGTGTGTGTGTGTGTGTGTGTGTGTGTGTGTGTGTGTGTGTGTGTGTGTGTGTGTGTGTGTGTGTGTGTGTGTGTGTGTACAGTATAGTCTTTTAGAAAGTCTATGACTGCTCAGCATGCCTTTATAGCTTCTCCAAAGTATTAGTTACAGTATCACGTATGTGTCCCTTATCAGTGCTTTTATCTCACTTTCAAAATGATTTGGAATATTTAATAAACATGCATTTTAATAAACATCATTTACATTTAGAAAATGATCCAAACATGTTGTTTTGCGCTTCTGTGTAACAATTATCCCAGTCCCTCTGACATGTTCAGTGCAGGAACTTCCTGTTGCTGTTCTTAGCTCACATGCCGGTCTAGTCGCCTGGGAAATTCAGAGCAGGAAATGATGTCATGCAAGGCACTTCAGGGTCCTTGAGATCCAGCACAAGGCAGACATAACACTGAGAAAAGGCTGTCACAAAGTCAAGGTTACTGGCTTTAGATGAAAGAGAGGAAATGAAAGGTAGAGGAAAGAAAGGCAAAGGCACACTTTCAGAGAAAAGGCTGTGAGGACATTGGGGTGCTTGTGTTATGTTTATTACGTAATATAGCCGGCATCCTTGTTATGTAAGGAACTACCTTGCAGCCCCTTTGTCCAGCTCATGGACGCCCACACACACACACACACACACGCACACGCGCACACGCACACGCACACACACACGCACACGCACACGCACACACCATCTGTCTACCTTCCCTGCCGTGTGCTGCTGCCTGTTGTCATATATTCTCCACAGCAGGAATGCAATGACATGACTGAAGGAAAAGCACAGTAGGCAGCCTGGATTAGCTCCGTCTCACCATTTGTGTGTGCGTGTGTGTGTGTTGTGGCCCGTTAATAACATGTTTGTGTACTAATTAATCTCTTGATTAAATTCTGCACAGATGAATAGGGGTGCTTTGTTTGCATGCTGACAAGAGCTTTGCCACTTGGCATTGCAAATTACACACGCAGAAACACTCTGCTGAAGCACGCTGTTTAAGTATATAAAACAGGGCATACAATTTCTTCATATCTATGGATTTCTTTTGAATGCATCACTAAAACAAGCTGTGTTATGTAGGTCAATAATTAGTAACATGATATGCCATTATCCCTCTTTTTTTCATCAATAGGAAGTTGAGTATTCGTATTGTATAGGCCGGATGCTGCAGCACAGTAAGAAGCAACCAGCCAGAGCTAACACGTGTGCTGCTTTACAGAATGTTTGTTCTTAAAGAAGAACTCAAACTTTAGCTCTAAGATCATTAAAGGATGAAATGTGTTTGTCTAAATGATTCTGCAAATACACTTATAAGACATGTGTCACAAATGCTTTTTTAAAAGGAATCCGTTATTTCATAAAACAACTGGGCAGTATTTTCAAGAGTTAGTGCACTAGCGAGCATTTATGAGACCACAGTGTATGTGGGTTTGACTCAAAATAAACTGCAGCGCAAATGTTCATATAAACATGTCAACTTGTGCAACACTGTGGCTCATTGATGTGTTTTTAATGGACAACAATAGAGGTCTGAGGCACAGAGGAATACCCAGGAAGGATCAGGCTTTGACAATCCCTTGTGATGTTTCGGGCTTTGTGGTTTCTCTAAAAAAAGTTGATCATCTTCAGAATCTCATATACAGTCAATAAGCGGCTGCTGTGGTATGTCTTCCTCCCTGTGGTTTTCCCACAGGGTCTGTCCATCTCAAGCCCCCCCCAGCTGTCTGCCTGTCTCATCCTTTTTGCATTCTCTGACTCACTGGGGGCAACATCTGGACTGTGCTTAGTGTCTGCGGTGGTGTGTGTGCGTACACACTGCGTTCTCCCACACATTGCTCTGCTCTGCAGTTTTGTACAGTATAACTGAAGAAAGAGGCCGAGGTCAGAGTCTCCTTGCAGGCCTGCCGGCAGGTTTCAGCTGACATGTGAAGTTAGCGTCCACTAGTCGTCAGTCTGGGAGCTCAGGGGGCTGGCTGATGCAAATGCCAGATAAATTAGCCAGTTCCTCCATGGACGTGAAGGGGCAACGGCGGCTCTGCTGACGACAAAGACCATGTGGAGTCGTTAGGAGAAGAAAGGATGAGCGGGTTTCAGTGAAAGAAGCAGACGGATGGATGAGGAAAGTATTTTTGTTTAGAAAAAGATCCTGACAGGATGGGACGAGGTTAGGGGCAGGAAAGATGCGGAAAGAGTACTGAGAGAAAAGTAATTTAAACATAAGAAGAAAGGAACATGAGTGAACTTTAAAAAGGAATATATAAAAGATTAAACAAGAGGGAAAAGGCAAGTAACTAAAACAGAAGTGAGCGGAAAGAAAGGAGTTGAACGCAACATCGGGAAGAGAGAGTTGTAAAAATAGAGAAATATTGTGTGTGGATCCTAACAAAGCAGAAAGTGCGAGAGGAGGTTGAGGAGAAAATTAGAGGGAAGAGAAAGCTTGCATGAGGCAGGCTGGAAGAAAGAGGCAGAGTTGTAAACACAAGGGTTGGGAAGGCAGCGAGTCATTGCCTCTTGATGGAAAGCTGGATAGCAGCGAGTGGATGTGCCATGGGATGGAGAGGGAACTGAGCAAAGGAGAAAGAAATAGAAGCATGTCAACACCCGCACCATGAGGGCTTCAAGTAAGTTTTCAGTTCTCTCTCTCTCTCTCTCTCCTCTGTAGAGTCTCTCCGGTCTATTTTCAGAGTGTTTCAAGAACAATTCTTCAGGATCTGCCCTGGTGTTGCTTCACATGTGATTTAGAGACAGGAGTTATGCTGAGAATGCAAGAGAGGGATGTAATTGCTGGATTGCGGTGAAAGGATCATTTCCTCTGACCGTTCTCATCTCTGATGGTAGAGACGGAGGCTTTTTATTGCCCTGCTGAACTTTGTCCCCTGTGTTTCTGCGGTGCCTCTCCTGTTTACTGCCAGCTCCTCTAAAGGAGTCAAGTGAGAGTGAAAGAGTGGGTTTTGAGAATAGATATATAAATAAGAGCAGCGACTGCAAAATAATGTTTTTGCTCAATTGGAGGGCCATTTTAAAATCATTTTCTATAAATGTATGCGGTCTCGTAGTCCATCCTATGTTTCCACTTCCTACAGTTTTGTGCGTTTGTGTATGTATGTAGCATCCTGTTGCTGTTGTATGTATGTCATTGTGTTTGAAATGTAAATATGTTTACACTGCTTTACTTTCAACTTGTGTTTTAAATAGTTTCACTGGCACCAAGATCATTCAAATGTCTCTGTCAGCACAAAGTTCTGCAGTGCGGTTTAATCAGTGTCTGCTCATAAAGCAACCTATGCGCACACACCCACGCACACACACACACACATGCACAAATAGCACAGTGCTGCAAGTTTAGCAGTGTTTGAACGGTACATATACTGGCGGAAAAAAGTAGTAAAAAGAGTAAATGCCTGTAAAACGTCTCGTGGAGCTGGCAGCAGCACCTAATGGGGTGCCATGTGTAAGCCTGTTAAATGTATGCATAAACGGCTGAAATCTTACTGCTGGTTTATCTGAGTGAATATCATTTGAAAGTACGGGATGTTTAACGTTAAACTGTGTTTCCTTTGTCCCTCACTGGCTCACTTCCAGCTTACCCAATATCATCATTCCAGTGAATTCCCTTGAGGAAAATGTAAATCTGGATGTTCCTCCAATGTATGTTAAAAATGCTGAGATAGGGATAACAGATGATTACATTGTGATGCTTTTCATTCCTTTCTTTGCCTCTGGATTTATCTGTGCTTATGTTTGGATAGCAGATAATTAACAGCACATAAAGTTGTGCGTATAAAACACATAAGTCCACTGGAATTTAGAGGGAAATTCAATAACGTTTGGCCTTTCCGTTACAGAGATGTTGTGATAATATGTGTTTTCAGTTCTTGCATAACAGGGTTGAACCATATATGCTGCACGATCAATAAAATGAATATTCTTTGCGTGTGCACTCAAAATGCCTCTTCTGTTTTGCTGTTTGTTTTACAGAGATTGAGGCTAAGGAGGCTTGTGATTGGTTAAGAGCAGCCGGGTTTCCACAGTATGCCCAGCTCTATGAAGGTAACACACACACACACACACACACACACACACACACACACACACACACACACACACACACACACACACACACACACACACACACACACAGTAGCCAAACACCAGTATTCACTCAATTATTTCCTCTACAAATCTCGCTTTTTCTTCAACCCTGCTTCTAGTTTTCTCTCCGTCTCTTATTCTTACTACCACCTATATTTCTCTTTCTCTTTCTGCCATCCCTCCATCCTCATATGCTCGTCTTCTGGGCCGCTGCATTCTATTTCCAGGCTTCAGTTCCTGTCCAGAGGGAGGGGTCATGGGAAAGGCCTTGTTATCACTGCTGGGACTCTCACAGCTTCTCTTCTTTCTTCCACCTATCTCCAGCCAGCATTTTCTTACTATCTCCTTCTTCCTTTCTTTCTGTCTTTTTCATCTTCTCATTCAGTTTTTCTTTCTCCTTCCTTCCTTCCATGTTGCCCTCTCTCCAACTCTCTGGAAAGCCTACAGTCATTCATGTGATGATCATCAGGTCTCATACATTTGAGGAGGCACACACAAACAGGAAGTGGCCCCAGTAATCTACGTAAGAAGAAGCTCTTAAAAAAATCCAGCAGTCGCACACACACACACACACACACACACACACACACACACACACACACACACACACACACACACACACACACACACACACACACACACACACACACACACACACACACACACACATGCTGTGCTTCCCTGAGAACGGCTGTGAGTACCAGTAATATGGGGTTATGGATGCCGGCCTCTGGGACTCTGTGGCTCCCGGGCGCACATGATGCCTGCAATCTGCCACCACACACAGGGATCACCAAAATAAAAGCCTCGAGTCATTTTGTCATTGGCATTGTGTGGAATTCAAGTTATTTTGGTGTTTAAAAATGTGTTTGCATGTCCTGTAAACTTCACATGCAGATTACAGATGTTAAAAGTGGCAGCAGCGGTTGTGCCATTGTTCTGCCTCCTATCAATCATTAACTGACAAAACTCAACCTCTTGGTTTTTTTCTGCCTTTCTCACAGATTCCCAGTTTCCAATTGACATTTCCTCTGTGAAAAGGGACCATGACTTCTTGGACCGTGACCTGGTGGAGCCACTCTGTCGGTAAGCACAAACACACATGCTCAAACTGTATGTAACCCCCCAATACGCATGCAACCCACCCTCAAAATCACAGATTCCTTCTTTCTCGTCCCCCTGGTTCTGCACTTGTCCCTGCGGCCTGGTGCTTCCCGCCGATCATTAGACGTCTGACCCCGACCCGTAATGAACCCCTCATCCCTGTCTCGTCCTCAGACACCCTGGGCTTTGATCTGGTCACCTCCCCTCCCCTCTGCCACGCTCTGATCTCCCATTCAAAGAGCAGAGACCCTCAGGGGGCCTAAACAGGAGGGGGCTGAGGGGATGAGGGTAATATAGAAGGAGTGAGGGGATGCCAGTATATTCTACCAGATGGCTTTGAGTGTGTTTTTAAGTCCCTTTACACACCTATGATCTTTTTGTTTTACATCTCCCATTCCCCCTCCACGTCGAGTTTTCCCTGCTCGTAGCAGCATACCCCTTATCTCTCTCCCTCTTCCCCATTACCCCCGCCTCTCTAATGTTCTATGGTAGAAGAGGGTGTGGTAATTATAGTGTTAGTGATTCCTTAACGCTATATTGTGAGACAACATGCAGCAAAGCCCCTGAGAACTGCCTCAGAAGCTGTAAAACACACTCTTAATGAGCTCTCTCTTGATCGTGCATGACTCTTTACACACATTAAGGATTACATGCTGCTATATGCTTACAAGATGATGATGTGTACTGAGCATATCATTCTAAGTCTTGTCTGGATATATTCAACAAGAAACAGTTGTTTGTACCATCATGCAGCAGAAACTCCAGAGCAGGGATTGGAAGAGAGTGGTGATGGGTGACAGATGAAGGGAGGTAGGAGGGAAGTGGAGGGGGAGGAGCCAGCTGTGTTTCACGGGAGATACGCTTGTTGAGGGTGAGGATCAGTCCCAGCGGAGTGATCCTAGAGAAGGAAAGGAAGGAGAAAAGGCAGTGTGGATAGAGAGAGCGTAGTGAAAAGGACAGAAGTTACAAGATTTAAAAGGAGACAGTGGTACTGATATGTGAGCAATAAGAGAGGGAAAATAGAAGACAGCTCATAAAGAAACAAAAACACAGCATCAGACCAAACATATACATATTTAAAAGCACGTTTAACTGACTGTTTGTTTATCTTGCAGACGGCTCAACACTCTGAACAAGTGTGCCTCCATGAAACTGGATGTCAGCCACCCCAAGAAGAAAGTAAGACATTTTATTTCAACTGTGAGCCATAATCTTCTTAAAAACTTGTTTGACTGTAGTTTATCAGCAACCATAAATAGGACCATGTTTCTAGAATATCATTATGGAACTAACTCTAGCGTGTTTACATTTGGTTCAGTTGGTTAGCGAGACTTCTGTCATTCAAACTGGATCACTGAAAAGTTTAGGTTCGTCCAAGGTTTTCCAAACAATGGACATATATGTATGGGATACTTTGTGGCAGATAAAATCCAGTGTCAAATAATGCTCTTCTCTAGATATTTCTGTATACAAGTAGTGCTGATGACAAAAGATATTTAGATCTCCAAATGTTCACTACATATGACACGTTTGATTTATTTGTAGTTATTCCTAAATGGTCAAACAGGATTTCTTTAATGGTCAAGACAAAGAGAACAACAGTGAATTGTAAACCCATAGATACTCTTATTTGGTGCTTTATGTTGCAATACCTTTATCGTTCCATAGGGTGATGACTCTGATGAAGATGACCCGTTGGCTATCAGTAAAAGGTGGACGTTTGAGTGGAGCAGCCGACGTTGGTCTCGCCAGCATGACTTCCTGTTGGACAGCACCGATGAGAGCAGCCCGACAGGACAGGGGGAGGGTCTGCTGCACAGCACAGTGAGCAGTGAGAGTCTGCTGACAGACCTCAGCGAGCAGGAGATCACAGAGATCTCCTCCCTGCACAGCGAGGACTCCGCCTCCGCCTTGCCTGACTCTTTATCTATGGCATCTCTCTCCGCTTCCTACCAACCACCAAGGGATCTTTCACACTACAACTCCCTGCCACTCAAGAGCAGCCGGCATGGGCAAGGAGGGCGGAGCAAAGCCAAGGAGTTTTTGCGTCGAATGGAATTAATGCGCACTTGGGGGCCGTCAACGAAGCGGAAAAGCTCACATCGCAGGCCTCCACTGGTGATCAGTGGGCCGGTGTTACATGGCGAGGAGCCTCACGCTCTGCAGATGCTCCAGTGTACTCCCATCAGCCAACTGGAACACAGCCTTCAACAAACTAATGGTGAAACTTCCCTTGTCTCCCCTACCAGTGATTGTAAAGACCAATCCACAGTGGGTGTGAGCCCCAGCACTGAGACAATGGCGCCTGTTGGAAAGGAGTCTGTGTGTAGAAAACACCTCACTGGGAGCAAGAGAAGCAGCATGTATCTGGAGGATATGGAGCTGCCTTCTCAAGGTAAGAGGACTGAAGGGCAGAGCCAGTTTGGCAGAAACCAGTTTCGCTCTTATGAAAACCTTCTCGTTCACATCCCTAAAGACCACAAACCAGGCACCTTTCCAAAAGCTCTATCCATAGAGAGCCTGGTGCCTTCCCCCGATGATGGAAAGAACGGCCCCCAGACACATGCCCAAACTTCTCCATCCAGCAATGGCCTGGGGGGGCCCTGGTCTGGTAAACCCCTGTCCAAGCCCACCTGCCCTGGAGCTCCGCGGGGCAGCAGGGTGAGTGTTTATGACAACGTCCCGGGATCACACCTTTACGCCAGCACAGGAGATCTGCTGGACTTTGAGAAAGAGGACAATCTGTTCCCTCACCTCGATGACATCATCCAGCATGTCAGCGGTTTGCAGCAAATAGTGGACCACTGGAGCCGCAGTGTGCTGCCTGAGGATGAGACAGGGGAGGGGGAGGAGGAAGGGGAAGGCAGGACCACACCAAGTGAGGGAGAGAGAGATGGCGTGTCCTTGAACGACACTGATTCAACAGGAACCAGCCGCGAGAGGCGGGACTCTGGAGTCGGGGCCTCCCTGACAAGACCACGGTTAGTAGCTATTCAGGAATAATGACAATTTATACAAAAATGGCCAAAACAATTATAATACCAACCAAGTTATGTATATCCCATGAATGAACATTATAAGGCCTGACTGAATCATTCTGTGTCTCTAATTCTTTACTGATATTTTCTCCCCATCCCAGATTACGATGGCCGAGTTTCAGAACCTCTGATCATCTCAACCAGCCAGCGTCTTCTCTGCAGATCAGCAGCCAATCAGCAGGCCAGCTCAGCCTGCTGCAGAAGTTCTCTTTGCTCCGCCTCACCGCCATCATGGAGAAATACTCAATGTCAAATAAACATGGCTGGACATGGTGGGCACACACTCTACCACACACATCATCCATACTGTATGTTTCTCCACAATGTGGCTACTATGTCAGCTCATAGTTTATGCATTCATTCAACATTCAGAACATTTAAAAAACATTTAGACATGACAAAGCTGCTGAAACATTTGTGTACACTTCTGGGCAGACCGTTTGTTCCATTCCAACTAAGGAAGATATTCCCTGTATTTTGCAATGGCCTCTGTTATTTTAACTGCTTCTATTTATTAGCTGAAAAAGCACACTTTGCACCAACACCTCCACAAAAACCAAAACACTTACTTAATCCACTGATACTGGCTGTTACAATGGGTTCCTGCTTGATTAAAGGTGCCACTGTTGGTCAAAAACTGCCTTTAGTTTCTCAGCCACACACTATAAGCCAAAAGTGGCAATGACCTACAAACACAGGCACATCCTTGTGTTGTTAACGAACACTCCGGTTTGTTTTTATTATCCCCGAGAGGGAAATTCTGTTGACAAGCGTATACATGAAGAGAAAGATAATGAAAGCATAGGCTGCTCTTTCTCTCTCACACTTCAATAATTGTTTTCTGTCTATCGCTCCCAGGTCTGTACCCAAGTTTATGAAGCGCATGAAGGTGCCAGACTACAAAGAGAAGAGTGTGTTTGGCGTTCCCCTCATCATCCATGTCCAGCGCTGTGGGTTTCCGCTCCCTCTGTGTTTACAGCAGGCCCTCTGCCACCTCCGAACACACTGTCTGGACCAGGTTAGAGAGAAAAACAGCATTTACAAGAGTCTGTACACTTCCTCTCAGCATAGTGCTCATCAGTGGTGGAACTAACTACACACTAAAGTACTGTACTTAAATGTTATCTTACCATACAATGTTCTGCTTAACTACATTTCTTAGGGAAATAAACATGTATAAACATTTGTCTTCACATTAATTAAAACATGAAATGAGCTTATACAATAAAATGCACTAAACTATTGTAGTAGTTTCAAATATCTTCAGCTTGTTACCCATCAAAAGATAAGTACCTGGTTGGCGGTAATTTACATTTCAAATATGATATTATGCAAAGAATGGTCTCTTGTATTTTCCATCTTCCTTGTTGGCTCTAAATAATTACTTTCTTTCCGTCTCAGGTGGGATTGTTCCGTAAATCTGGAGTGAAGTCTCGTATTCAGGCTCTGAGGCAGCAGTGCGAGCTGTCCCCCGACTCTGTGAACTATGAGGACCAGTCAGCTTACGACGTGGCCGACATGGTCAAACAATTCTTCAGAGACTTGCCAGAGCCTCTGCTAACAAGCAAGCTGGGGGAAACCTTCCTGCATATTTACCAGTGTAAGTGGACTGTTCGGAGCTTTGATAAGAGTAACGTGTTGTTGCAGCTGAAGTTGTCAGAATCATAAGGCGTTATCATAAGATGTAACTCGGAAAGGTTGTATTTATTCATCTTGCCTTAGTTCAAATCCTTTTAGCAAACTGTATGTCATCTCTTTTAAATGACACACAATTATGATTTGTATTATAGTGAAATGTATCCAATTCTGGACAACATTAGTCAAATCTGAAAGCACTTCTTACTGTTTGTCAGATGTATTGTTCATGCATACAGTATGAGCATCAAAACAGTACATCAAAGATTAGATGGTGGCATTTGTGACTTATTTTTCAGTCCGTAATTCCTCCTCACTTCGTATTTTTATTTTTTTAGATGTCCCAAAGGAGCAGAGGTTACAGGCGGTCAGGGCGGCCATTTTGCTAATGCCGGATGAAAGCAGGGAGGTTCTGCAGACGTTGCTCTACTTCCTGCGTGATGTCACTTCCTTGGTGGAGGAGAACCAGATGACGCCGATGAACTTGGCTGTTTGTCTGGGACCTTCGCTCTTCCACCTGAGCATACTGAAGAACGAGATGCTGTCACCAAGGTGCGTTCACCGAGAAGACACCGAAGAACTTCCACTGTGTTATTATTTTGAGAAACTTGGTTGACAACCTTCAAGAACTGGAGTAATGAAGCATGATGATTTACATTCTGTGTTATTTCTATACCTCAAGGTCAATCCAGAGGAAGTACACCACGGGCCGCCCCGATCAGAAAGACCTGAATGAGAATCTGGCAGCCACCCAGGGCCTGTCACACATGATCAATGAGTGCCATCGTCTCTTTCAGGTCAGGATTTATGATTTACAGCAGGGTTTGATAGCTAATATATAATCCAAATATGGCAGATTAATTGCTACATTTAAGATTGTTTTCATAAGAGCGAAAAAAAGGTAAATGACTGACAGAAGTTGAGCAATTCAGTGTGTTGAATACGGTATAATGCATGGCGAGAGTGATATTACCACTGCCTAGTTATTATCATCAAAGGCCCTCAGTATAATTGGGTTTAATGATCTTATTTCTGAAACTGTATACCATACTGCTCCGTGTGCACAGTATATAATGCTGCTGTTGGAGAAAACCTTTTCAAGGGCTGAGAAAAATACACTTGATAACAATTGAGTCTTGAGTTTAATGTGATTTTAGTGGAGTTGTTATAAGAGCAAGAATGTTTGAACTGCATACAGTGTGTCATTCTTTCAAAACATAACATTGAACAGTGTTGGAGTTTCTGGTAAAATAACAAGTGACGTTAAATTGTTCCACTACTGTAGAAAATCTGTAAATCTTTGTCGTCTCAGCACATATGCTATTGCTCCAATGGAGGGTCTAAATCTGTTTAGAGTGCTTAGTGCTTGAGCCTGAGCTGCTGTTGTGCGATGTGATGTGACTCACGTCCTCCGCCTTTTCCCCAGATCCCAGAGGAGATGGTGACCCAGTCTCGCAACTCCTACATGGAGGCTGAGCTGATGGTGCCCCCGCTGGAGGAACTGTGCAAGGCTCACATGGAGGAAGTGGATGAGGATGAGGAAGAGGAGGAAGAGGAGGGATCCTATCATGCACATATAGAAAAGCTGGTCCAGAACCTGCTGGAAGAGGCCAAAGATAAGAGCAAAGGCTGGGTGTCTCGCTCCACTAGTGACAATACAGAACTGGCAGTTAAAAAGGTATGTGATCATTGAATTTTCACAATATAATGGGATTTTGGAGGGCAAGGAGAGAAAAAAGGAAGAAAATAAATATACAAATAAAAAGTAATATTTTAGTCGATTTTTCTATTATTATATTTTCTCTTGTGAATACCTTGTGTAACACGGTCATTCAGTTCAGAACGTTTTCCACTTCAAGCATAACTTAAGTGGAAGCCTGTTGTTTGACTGCTTTACTCAAGAGGTTTATTGAGCCAAAATTATAGGGAAATTCCACTTTTTTAAAACACAGCTCTGTGCCTACATACTCTACATGTTAAAATATATATATGATCAATTACGTTTGAGCTCTTTTTGTACTCTGTCACATTAAATGTAACATTCATATTCTGTTTGTGTGTAAGGTGGGAGATGGTAATCCTCTGAGGCGGTGGCGAGTGTGTGTTGAGGTGTCTGCAGCTCCCACCGAGGTGCTGCAGCGGCTGCTGAGAGAGCGCCCCCTGTGGCAGGCTGAGCTGCAGCAGGAGAAGGTTCAGGAGACGCTGGATAAACAGACAGACGTGTACCAGTACTCCTGCCACAACATGGCCCCTGTACCCAGCTGTGACTATGTGGTACTAAGGTGAGAATTACTGAATTTAAAATGTGCATGCTTTTTGTGATTTGGAATTATAGACCAACACAATTGTTTTATTGTTCCAAACTACCTGCTCAAAAATACCCTTAAATACCTAAATCCTTATATGTATCATACCATACCGTGTAAAAAAGCTTGTACCATTAGTTGATTTGATCATCGAAAGTAAATAAATTACTTATAAAGCTATAAGTCTTGTTTCAACCAAAAACACCAGAAATAAATAGTCCAGTTTTACAAATTCGGAAATGTTGTAAGTTCAGTATTTTGGTTTTGATCAGACAAAATTATGAAAATTCTTCTGTTTCTCAAGTTTTATAGACCAACACTTTATTGATAAATCAAGAAAATAATCTGCAGATTAGTTAACAATGAACATAATGTTAAGCTGCTTCCTGATAAGAATACATTACCCAACATGTCTCACAATCCCACATGAAATGTGTGTCTGCAATTACTTTTCTGTCTCTCCGCCCCCTCAGATCATGGCGTACAGACCTGTGTAAAGGCTCCTGTGCGCTGGTGTGTGTGTCTGTCGAACATGATGACAGCCCACGCATGGGAGCAGTGAGGGGGGTGGTGCTGGAGTCACAATACCTCCTTGAGCCCTGTGGGACTGGGAGGACCAGGCTCACACATATCTCCAGAGTGGATCTCAGGTGTGGGCGGACTTCAAGTGCCTTCAAGTGCTCATAGTCAGGCTTTTAACAAACATTGCATTGATTAACATGCTTTATTTTCTATTCTTGTCACAGGGGAAGATCTCCAGAATGGTACAACAAAGCATTTGGTGACATGTGTGTAAATGAGGCCCAGAGGATCCGCTCCTCTTTTCACCCGCCTGACCCGATGAGCCCAGAGCTGAAGACCTGAACCCCAGAAATCAAGCTCTATCTTGGGTCACACTGCCAGAGCAGCTGGGCCTGAGGACCAGTGAGGAGGGGAATCATCACGGCAGAGGACTGGAGTGTCTTTTCACGCTGCTGAGCCACACTGAACTTAACTGTACCATAATGTATTTAGATACAGTCATTCACACACAGAAAAGGGAGTATTTCTGTCATGTATTCCAGTAATTATACAGAACAACATATCACTACTTATTTATATAATAAATAATGACTTTTGGTGCAATATTTTTTGCCCAAAGAAGAAAACTCTGGTGTCTAATTCAAGATATGAAACAGCTCATTAGATTCCCTTTGAATAGCCATTGAAGTTTCATATAATTGGATCATAAACATTTGCATTATCAGGGAAATGAGAATGTGCACATAGTTAGTATTTCTTATATTTATTGCTCTGGCTTGTTCTTCCAAATCCTTATTTACTTATCCAATGTCTTGCAAAAAAAGATGGCCTAGAACACATTAATGTCATACCGCAATAACAGATCTTATTGTGCATAACCTTTAATCCTACTTGAAGTAGAATACCTGTATTTGTATTGATTTCTTTTCATCTTAACTCCATCTCTTTAAAATGCAACATTACATTACATGTTACTTGTTAGACACTTTTATCCTAAGCGACTTACATACTCAATACTGTGGACAGTCCCCACAGGAGCAATTTGGGGTGAAGTGTCTTGCCCAGGGACACAACGACACGCTGACTGTAGTGGGGTTTGAACATGTGCTCCCTTGATCTGAATACCAACGCACTTCCACTGCGCCACACCCCCCCCAACATAGCCTGCCAGTGGAATATACAGTGCATTACTAATTGGATTGAATTTGATTGTTTCGTAACATTTTTAATTCTCGTGTTTTATTGAATAGACACAAAAAAGGAAATCCACATTCACCCCTTATCTGCTTTTATCCAAAATTACATTTAACAAAAACTGTATGACTTACAAATGCACATTTGAGACTTGCGCTTGATTATGATCAAGCCTTAAACAGATGAATCCTAGTGCTCTGAAGAAAATCCCTGTCACTGGGAATGACCAGGACTAGCACAGTATGTTTGCATGTCAGCATTTTATTGTGAAAAGTGCAGTTGTTCAGGAAACACAGACACATGAGGGCTCTGGATCACAGAAAAGGCAAACATCCATCAGGTCCATCATTGTGCAGTTATGGATACATTGTGTAAGACATCACTGTTATTTTAGTCCTGTCACTATTTTCAGTGTTAATATTATCTACATGTTATTTTAAATTTAAATATTGACATTATATCAATGTATATTGTATTACTTTTTATTTGCTGTCATGTTATACAATGTCTAAGACATTTGACCATTTCACTGCTTCTGGGAAGCATGTTTGAAATTGTGTGTGTGAGTGTGTGTTTGCATAGATGTGCCCGTGTATCGGCATTTTAGATATATACGATACAGCCTGTATTGTAAATACATTTGACGCTTTCTGTGCCAGCAGATAAAACACCATAGCTTTTCAGGGTCTTCCTATCATATTGATATGCTGAAATGTGAATTTTCCATACACCATCCTACTAAGCAATATCAGACTGAAGCTTGCTTCTTTGTTTTTAGCTGTAGGCGTTGCTATGGTGTTGCTATGATACAATATCTCTACAGTGCCACCAAAATCCTGCGTGGATGCTGTTTGCTGGGGAACAGTTTGGCATGTGTGTGTGTTTGTAAATATGTGTGTATGAGAGAGACTAAATGAGTGATTGACTTCGACGTGAGCCCTCGGCTGTGTGGGAAGAGGCTCCAATCTTAGCTGAGTAGCTGAGACCAGGGTGATTTATGCTTGGTTATTTGTGACAAAGTGACAGAAAACACAACAATTATTTTCTGAACAAAGAGAATAAAAAAAATCTAAGAATTAAACAGAAACATTGTCTTCTGTGTAAATGTTCTGCAGACTATGATTTTAACAGCAAATACATGTACATCGCACAACATATTTTCCTTGTTATGTGCTCTTTAGTCCATTGAGTGGTGCTGTTGCCCCACTGGAGTCTGAAGGTCATGAAACACTGTGGAAAGTATGTCATGGTAAATGGTTTTTTAAAGATAACTAGAGTGTATGAAGATCATCAGGGGGTTCTCTCTGTTGAGATGTTCCCTTTTCTCCCTCTGCGTCCTTCCAATGGATGGATGTTAGAAACTACCAGCTCGGATCAATACTCAATCACATTTACCTACTTAGCCGTGTTAAATGGGGACTTTCACAGAGGACAGTGAAGGTGTTTAAACACACACTGTGCTCACCTAAAGACTAGGTGTCTGCTGTTTTTAAACAACACTGAAATGAGTGAAATATTGCTTTAACTTCCACCTCATTAAACATGTCAGTGATTTTATCTAGAAAGTAGGGCACACTGTTACAGCTCCTGAATATCAATGATTGTCTGCACTGTGGGTGCACTCTAGTTCCACTACTCCATGGAGTCTGACAAATGAGGAACACCATGTTGCAAATTACACTTTGAAAAAAAAAGGATTACTGACAGGTTGAATCAAGCATTGATTTTTTTCCCCAACCAAATCCACTTAATCCCGGAGAGGTAGATTTTCTAAGCAAATGTGGAAATTATGGAGATAAGGGCTGTGCAAAAGAATGTGAAATTTGATTTGACATTTCTGGCTCTTAATGTTCAGATACAATCCAGAGGGATTTATGAAATCCTCAAGTTTGTTTTTCAGACAGGGTGACCCTGGTAAAGGATTTGAGGGGGACCTCTTCTGGAAAAAAACAAGAAGTGCATGTCTATCAGCTACACCTGACTAAGAAGTGTAAATATCCCCGGTGGTTTTTCCAGTTAGTTAGTGATGGTTTGGGTAGTTGACCTGTGTCCTTCTGTTCTCTACACAGCGGCCAGTAGCCTATATTAGGAGTGTCAAACCCCCAGAAAAAAAAAATTCTGAGCCCGATTAGGCCTGCCAAAACATATTGGTAGAACATTAAAAAAAAAAAATAGTATTTGGGGGATACTAATGGTCTAGACCAGTTTCCATAATTTGGGAGTTTGGGTGATAAACTCTTCGTGCACCTATTATGTCAAAATCTATGATGTAAACAAAAAATAAAGCCTTGTGTTGGGAGTCAGCAAGTTAGCTAGCTGAGTCAATATCACTATAAAGTAACTTTTCTGTCCCCATCAGAATCAATCACTCAGTGATCATGAAAATGTAGCAGAATAATTAAACTCTGAGGTCTTATTATAAATGGCCAAACATTTACACACATATCAGTACAATGATAAGTCTCTTGAATGTGTTTCCTTCATTTTATACCGTATTTTGTCATTGGATGTACGTGATTTTGGCATGTCCCACACACTGCTCTGCTAACTACAGTGTGTGTAATAAGCGATTAAATGATACTACATTTAAAAAATAATTATATGGTTTTATTGTCCACAACGAGTTATTTGATAAAACGAGTCATTTTGATCATGTATATTCTATTTTCATAATAATATTGAACATTTTGCATGTGTCCCTGACATTGCTGTCCACCCTGTCATTATGGGGTAACTGCCCCTATAAAAAAACATCTGATGTTTTCGGTGACATTACTACCACCATATTGTCTTTCCTCAATGGAGGCTGAGACATTGGCTAGTTGCAGAGTAAGTATTTAAACTTATATTTCGTAATTTTAATCATATTATGTGTGTAGTTGGATGTTGTCAATCTTAAAGGTGGCCAGGTGGGGTATGTAATTCACTTCAGAAACACTTTTTGTTATATTCCATGGAATGCTCTTAACATCCCGATAGCAATGAATACATTAAATGCTTTGACAATAAATACATTAAAAAAATTCATCTGTGGAAGCCGTGGCGCTGTAAAAAGCACGACCAATTATTTTAGCTTGCCCGGCTAAAATAACTGGATGGCCTACCTGCCTGACAGCCTTCCATCTCGTGCACAAACGTATTGGTCATGTGCGCGTTCGTGTGTGTTCGTGTGTGTTGGAGGAGGGGCTCTGTAAGGAAGTGGCAGATTTCTTTCGACTGCGTACTTTCAAATTCTAGCGCACTCGAGCTGGTTTCTCCATTCTTACCTACCCTACCTTTAACATGTCCACTCTGTCATAGTGAAATGTCAATTAATATAAGAAACTTTCAGAAATTCGAAATATATTTGTTAAACAGTACACAGTCACCTTGCTAACTGAATCATGTTGCTAACTGAAGGTCCACCATGTGCTCATTAAATGCTAATATTAGCCAAAAATGTCCACCCTGTCAGCAAGCCTTCCATGAATATGAAGTGTAACTTTACAATTGGCATTAAACATTAAAAGTCAGCCGATTTTACTATTGTAAGTTTCTGTTTGGAATAAAGCCGTGGATGTACAAACGAATCGCTGCAGTAGGCCTACTTAATTGATACTGAAGAGAACTTTACAATTTTACTCTGAGACTACATGTATATTGTCGAGTTATAGTAGACCTAAACATTTCCCCCTCTTATTTCTAAGCGTGTTGCATCTACACCGGAGTCCTCGGGAAGTGTAAGTAACTTTTAATTTTAAGATGTGTTTTTATGCCTGTGTTTTCAGAATTGACCCGAATAAAACCCGAAAATGATTAAATGCTAATCTCACAAGCCCAAAAGTAAACATGGCTGCCAAGTCAAACTGAGTTTTCAGGAGTTTTATTCTATATCATTTAACAGGCCTAACATTTGAGGCTCGAAACCCTTTGAATATTAAATGTATGTACAAAATGCCACTGACATAGTATAGTATGCCCTTATGTCCCTTCATTCAAAATGTCCAACGCTCATGCCATTTTCAAACATGTTTTTCAATTGTAAGTTGTGCCTAACCAAATATTTGTAATGGCTTTTTTAATAGGTTAGTTATTTTGTTAGTGTATTTGTCTAGTCTATGTATGGTTTTACATACGTTTTACTGTAAAAACTCTGACTAAATAAATACATCAGTTAAAACATACTTCACTCGGCAAGATAGTTTCTTGTCTGTGTTGTTCAGAGCATTGCATTACATTTAACAGGCCACCATAGTAAATAATAGTTTGCTAATAAATATTTTGGTCTTTAAAAGAAACTCTATGCACCATATCTTAAACATATATTTTAATTAAGAAAGACTAGCTCAAAGGGTTTCAATTAAATAGTACTTTAATGTATGATTCCTGAATGCAGAACATACTTGAGCAAACTTTTCTATAGACTTTAGATATCACAAAACAAATCCGTTTTTATCTTGCTCTCCTTTTATTGTCCTTGTGTTTCTCTTCTATCACAGATATTAGAACATTATTGTCGGAGTAATTTTGACCTGGCCTTGCTTATGTAACTTTCTAATTAACAGACCAAAATAGCAGTTTTGGAAACAAGATATTTTATCTCCAATCATGAAAGAGCACAACAAGATTAAAACTATCCGTAGAACAGAATTTTGTAGTGGTAGACTTTGAATGTTTGTATTAATGTCGTTGCTCTTTATCTGTAACACATTCCCACTATAAAGCAGGGCAGGGAGACGGGGAGAAACAGATGTATCTCCTTTGAGAATGGCTAATCCACTGTCTTCTTTCAGACAACCATGATAAGGTCATTACTGAATAAATTATCCAATGAATGAATTATTGATGAGACCATGTTGCCAGTGGTGTGTACAGTCTTAAGTGTATGCTCTGGTATTGGCATAAAATAGCCAAGAGTATGCACAGTTAAAAATGAGGGAAGCATGCGTTTTAAACATTTTAAAAGAAGGGATATAAAAGAAACTGTCAGTTAATTTCAGTACAGGTCGACAGCTGCAGCTTGTTAGTATTTAAATCGTTTTTTCAGCAACTGTGAATTCATCACTGCTGCACAGTCTGCTCCTGAGTAAAAAACAACCACATGTTTTACCATAATAAGCACAAATATCTGTGAAGATGTGGTACTTTGTTTTTAGTATTATGTACTTGAGTTACCAAGGTCCCTGATCACATTTGTTACTGTCATAGCTGAGAAGTTGAGCATGACAATGGAACATTCTTTATAAAATTGTCTTTTAAAGCCTTGTTTGTATGGAGGTGTTACACCAGCATAGAAACCACCAGTGAATGAAAAACTGGACACTTGAATACATATTTGGGGTTATTATAACAAAATGTGGACGAGGGCATATTCAGTGCTCTTCATGTTAATATTTTTAGTTAGAGTTGGTTTCTGAAAAAACACTGCATGCCAGCAGTGGACACTTTTATCCAAATTGCTTCTGTAGTGCGATAGATAACTGATTTGTTACAGCATTTGATGGAACACTTTTTCACAGCAGGGGTAGATTTGGACTTGTTATGGCAGTAAAAGAACAAAGGGAACTAATAACATTGAGGAGGGCTCCTTTCCTTTTACTGAAGGTGAACCATATCAGTGATTCAGCATGCATAAAACGATGACCCTGGAACAAGAAAAAGCTAATAGAAATTCAGCCATTATCCCGGTAACATCTGATTTTGGGACTGAATATGCTGCGAGAGAGGTCTGTTGGAGGCCAGAGCAAAATTGGGACCATTGCCTCAGAGACTGTGCCTCTCATGTATCACCGTTATTTGAGTTTATTATGCAACTGATTTAATTTTTTCAAATACAACTTTAATGTTCCCTTAAAGGTGGGGTAGGTAAGTTTGAGAAACCGGCTCGAGATACACTTTTTGTTATATTCCATGGAATGCTCTTAACATCCCGATAGCAATGAATATCTTAAGTGCTTTGACAAAAAATCCATAAAAAAATGTCATCTGTGGAAGCCGTAATACTGTAAAAAGCACGACCAATCATTTTAGCCGGCCCGGCTAAAATAACTGGATGGCCTACCTGCCTGTCAGCCTTCCATCTGTGCACAAACTTAT